TTATCTTAGGAGAAAGATTCATCAGACTAAGATTTTGATCCTAGGAGAAAGTTCATCAGACTAGGTCTTCTATCTTAGGAGAAAGATTCATCAGACTAAGATTTTGATAGGAGAAAGTTCATTAGACTAGGTCTCTTGTCTTATCTTAGGAGAAAGATTCATCAGACTAAGATTTTGATCCTAGGAGAAAGTTCATCAGACTAGGTCTTCTAATTTGTTATCTTAGGAGAAAGATTCATCAGGCTAAGATTTTGATCCTAGGAGAAAGTTCATCAGACTATGTCTTCTATCTTAGGAGAAAAATTCATCAGACTAAGATTTTGATCCTAGTAGAAAAGTCATCAGACTAGGTCTTCTAATTTGTTATCTTAGGAGAAAGATTCGTCAGACTAAGATTTATATCCTAGGAGAAAATTCATCATACTAGGTTTTCTATCTTAGGAGAAAGATTCATCAAACTAAGATTTATATTGGAAGAAAAATCCATCAAACTAGGACTTTTTATCATAGGAGGAAAAATGTGAAGATCAATGGCAATATTTTATGCACAGTAGCAAGACAAATAAAGACAAAGATTTGAGAAACTTCCCTTTGCCGACTCTTCTCATCTTTTCTTTTTCTTCTCTTTTTTTTCCTTTTTCATTTTTCTCTCTCTTTTTGAATCACTTTCCTTGCACTGCTTTGTTCCTGTTTCATACAAAGAAAAATTTGTCAATTTTGAAAATGGTGGTCGGTTTGTGGCCTTGAGTCTTGGGCAGCTTGGCTTCTGCTCAATCAGCTTGAGTCGGTCTCAAAAGACTTTTGTTCTGCACCATCTCTGATTGTTTTACACCAATACCATTTGTATTTGCAGCTCAAACAACCTTATCCCAATTGGAGATCTTTGCTTAGGTGACCTTTTCCGATATCTTGAATGACTTCTAGCTTTTGAGCAATTTGTCTGTCAGAGAGAATCACCAGTTATCTTTGCTTGCGCCAAGTAAGCTGACAAGAGTCTTTAGGGGGAGCCTTTGCATGAATCCTCAAGGCATGTTGACAGTAACAACTGAGTGTGCTGGCCAAATTCACTTTGTGCAACTGAAAAGCTGGTAGCAGATTTTGAAAGCTTTTCTTGCTTGTTTTGACAAGGACTGACTCAGAGTGGAGGACACAAATGATGCAAAGAGATAATATTAACAATAAATGTCCATGTCGGGAAGGATAGAAGGAAGGGGTTTTCTTCTTCTTTTTTTTTTCCTTTTTATTCAATAACTAGCCTTAATAATCATGACATGTATTTTGGACTCAACGGCCTGATCTATCAAACTATTCCAATCTTCCCTTTTACCGTTCTTATGACCTTTGAAGTCGGGCTTGTTCGTGCCAATTCTTTGCATCAGCTTTAAGACTCACTTTCGACTAGTAATGCCCCGAGGGGTTTTCACCAACAGGTCTCTCTTATTTATTCATCTCTGCTTACCGTCGCCTTACGGTGCCCGTGAGGGTTTTTACTAGTAAGACTCTCTCATTTTTTTTTAATTTCTTTTGCTTTCTTGTGTGAACAACTTGACAGTGTTCTATGTCACATGACAACCGTTGCTCATTGCATACTCCTCTTGGCATTTTTGAAGGCATATCGGGAGGTCTTTATTTGGAAGATTTTTGGATAGGGTTGGATGAAAGGCCGACATGAAGCTCAACACAGACTAAAGATGACAGAGTTGTATACTTACAACTTTTGGAATCGACTCTTTTAAAAATGAAATAAATTCTTTGCCCCGGTTTTAGCTATTGGGGATTGTTTTTTTGAATTTTTCTTTTTCTTTTTCTTTGAATTCTTATTTGGCTGGACTGAACCGTGAGGCTGCCTACGTATCCTTTTTTAAGGAATCAGGTCTAACGTAGTTCAAACATCTAACATAACTATTTTTTCATCTTTCGTTTTTTTTCTTTGTCTTTTTTTTTTCCTTTTGTCTTTTTTTTTTTCAAAACAGGTTTCCCCCGCTTCTATTTTTTTAGGGCATGAACCTTTGACAATTCTTTTTTTTAACTTTCTAAAAGCTGCCCCAGTTTGTACTCTTGGGGCATGGACTTTTCTTTTTTTTGTTTTTTTTTTGTTTTGACTTTTGACTCTAAAATTGATCCCAAAAGAGGGTGGTCAAAGAAAATAACACAGACTCAAAGGAGTGACAAAGGGTATAAAGTGTTTGGGTAGCGGAAAAAGGGCCTCCCAACCTCGAGAATGCCAAACATAGTATCTTTTCGCGATCACAGCATTGACGAACATGTCTGTCTTCTTGGTGTGCCGTGGTCACAAGATATTTTTTCATCCCTTAGTGACAAACTTTCCAACAAACTTCAATTGATTAAACATCCTCAAGCCCGATCTTCACAATGATTTGAAGGTGAATTTTACTCGATCTTAGTTCCAAAGTATTCCAACTCTTTATTCATCCTCAAAAGTATTTTTTTTAGTTATCGAATTCAGATTAAATTAGTTCCTAAGATCTGGCCAAACTTTCCGCAT